TAACCTATTGAGTAAATAGCCAACAAACATTGGTAAATCAAGGGGTCTAGCCGGCCTACGCCGCCTGATACCTTTACTACTCAATCAAGATTGTGACGAAGACTAAGTAACTCCTATGTTAACTTAATAGTCACTCAAACTTAGTACTGAGCCTAAAAGGTACGAGTCGTCCACTTGTTTTTATAAACAAAGGCTCTCAACCAATACTCTTGCTAGGTTAACAAATAACAAATTAGAGGCCAACATTGGCAATAAAGGGAAACAACCGGTACCCGCCGCTTGTTTTCCTACTTAAATTCCTTGGCTACTTGGTAATTCTATTTACTTGGTCAAATTGAATAAAGAGTTCGAATACCGATTGATTAAATGGCCGACTGATCATCTATCCTGGAAACAGACAACCAGTCGTCCAGGGGCATAGGCGGCATACTTACTATTTGTACCTGTCTTAACGTTCGGCCATACACAACAGTCTGTCTAGTGAGCAAATTTCAAATACTTGGACAAATTTGAACAAAAACAAAAAATTTGATTAAAATGAGCCGGCCATAAAAGACCAGCAGAATATTCAAAACCCCGGCCCCCTGGCCGGGTAATTACAAAGCAAACGGCACGCAGGCCGTGAAAAGAAAAAATATACTTAAAGCTTAAGAAGGGGGCAGTTCAGTATCAGCAGCAGCCGCCTGGTCAGCACTCTTCTTGCTGGACTCGGCCTTAGCTGCATCATCTTTTGATGCCTTACCCCCAAGTGGCACAAGCGCCACAACCGGCTCTTCCTCCTCCAACGCAACGTCCATCGCCTCTTCTTCAGCAGCCGCCAGGATCTGTTGATTATATATTTCCGAACACTGGCGGTACGTTCTTTCCCATGAGGCAAAGTCGGCACTGGGGAACAGTCGTTCCCAGGTCATGCGTTGGATTTGGGCGGAGTCTTCCACCATCTCCCGGACGAGCTCTTGTTTTTCTTGCTCGGCCTTGTCCGAGAGCTCTTGGGTAAGACTCTTCTCCTGGTTCACCAGGCGTTCTTTTACGTTAGCCAAAGATTTCTCCATGGCTTCGTAAGAGTGCATTTTCTGACGAAGGGGCTTCAGCTCGGCCTTAAGTTTGGTGACGGTCCCCTCCAGCTCGTCAACCTTCTTTTGGGCCGCCTCTAGCTGAGCCCGAACAGCGGCGGTCGCCTGCGCCTGATAATAAAGAAGATCAATGGTCAGTACTTCATTTTGGGCAATTTGAAACATTGCTTTATCACAGCTGGAGGCGGCCATAGCCTGTGCGGCCTTTACCTCTTTGTTTTTCCGATCAATCGGCTTGCGAAGGCTGTTGACTCGGAGCAGGGCCTAAGTACAAAGAAAAACAGGCGTCAGTTTCCAATCATAAGGGTTAACAGGCGTCCTGGAACTTCAAAAGGGTATACCTCAGCTAGGATCCCCGAAATTCCATCGAGGTCAAGGGTGCCGGCACCCTTGACCGCCTCCCTGTCAGAGGGAGGAACTACTTTAACCATTGACTTGGCTACCTCAACCAAGTCAAGTCCCTGGGGGCCGGCTGCATTAAGCAGAAGGAAAAACAAGTTAGACCTAATCAAGAAGGAAGCAAGAGTGAGTTTTTACAAGCAAGTGTCCATACATCTAGGCGGCCCCGCCTGGGTTTTTGAAGAAGTGGCCGGCTGCTTCTCAGCCGCCACTGTTTTCCTGGAAGACCCAGGAGAGCTTGCAACAGTCGTTCTCCGGGCCTTGGGGTCCGGCTGTTGCGAGGAAGAAGCCCTTGGAGTGCCAGACTGAAAACAAAAAGAGTTAGTATATGCATAATACAACTTAAAGGGGAAGTTTTCAAAGCCTACCAAGGGTGCCTCCTTGCTGGGGGAGTCGGCGTACGACTGCTTCATTAGAGAAACCCGCAGCATGGCCGCCGCAGTCTTAGATGCTGTTATTTTACTCATGGCGTCGGCTGAAAGAAATAAACAGCAAAGTTAGTAAAAATCCCAAGTAAACAAGGCGTGAGAAAACAGAGTATTCGTCAGGCCGGCTACCTCTAGAGCACCGACTGCCGAGGCCACAGGCGGCCAAGAAGTACTCATCATAGAGCCACTTGAAGCTCGGGACGCAGTGTAGGGGTACTTGCTCTCGTACCCCTGAAGTAGAGTTCACCCTAGTCTCTACTTTGAAGAGTCCTTTGTCTAGGATCTCTCTTTTAGCCTTTGGGGGAACAGGCGGCATGCTGCGGCCGCCTGCAAGAAGAGGCGGATCCCTGTTCCACTTGTTAAATCGTTTGTTCAGCTCCGTGTCTGAACTCTCGATAATAAGGAAGGTGTTCCGCCAATCCTTCCATTTGTTTGCCTTACCTCTCGTCATGAGGTAACCCCTGTGGCTTGTTAGTTGATACCAGCCGGTACCTCCCGACTTAGGGGTCCGGCTGAGATAGTTCATGTGGGCGAAAGCCTCAAAACTTGGCTCCACCCCGTTCAGTTCGCACCCGGCCACATAGCCGAGTACGTTTACCCAAGAGTTGGGGGCTAACTGCCATAACCCCAGATCATACCCATCTAAAATCCGCTGAACAGCCGGATGTAATGGGAAGCGCAGACCAGCTTTGATGGCCGCCACATAGCAGCCAAAACAGCCGTCACCATAGCTGGTACCAGCCGGCCAGACGACAGTATCTTCTGGATCCGGCACAAACAGTAAATACTCCGGGCTCATTTTGTGGTTAGCAATAAAGCTCGCCACGTTGTCTCGCATGGTTGCGATCCGGCCCCGGGGCACCCTGCAGTAGTAGGGGGTGTTTTCCTCTCTGTAAGAGGCGGACGGCTCTGCCCAATTATCCCCATTCTCCACTGCATGGGAACTTCTCGCCTCTCGTAGGCGGTTATGTTTTTCTTCTGAGTCAGAAGAACTGTGGTCAGAAGAGCTGGAATCGGACTCGTCCCCTGACGAGTCCGAAGAGGACGACTCCTCCCCTCTCCTAGAGGGGCCCGCCTCCTCTCCCTTAGAAGGAGCAGAAGGTAAATTGGACATGTCCACGGTTAGATGAGAAGGGAACACCTTGGTCCCTCTCTCAGAACTGTCAGCTCGACAGTCGCCTCGTTCCACATCTGGCGCCTGGTCAGATGTTTCGCTAAGGAGTACCCTTTGGGAGGAGCCGTCTGAGTTTGATATTCTAGCAGTCTTTTTTGTTCTGGCCATCACGTTCTGCATAGACACAGATTCAGTCGGACTTTGTATAAAGGGCAAAGATGGGTCCAGAAAAGGGCAGGCGGCACTCCTAGTCCTAGATTCAGCCGTCCCCGGTGACCGGCTGATCACTAACTTAGGGCGTGTCGTGTGCTTCCATGGTGCCATTTCAAAAAATAAAAGAAAATTAAGAGTAAGAGAACTGAGTTACCTGAACGGATGACAGTTGATGAAGTCCTGAAAGTTCGGGTCAGTCGGCTTGTCAGAACAGGCGGTAGGCAGAAAAAGTCCGAAAATGTCAGAGCAAGTTCAGGGGTCCGAATGTTCTCGCAAAAATTCTCAAATGTGAAAATGACCGAAGTCAGCACTTCCTTTTATAGGCAAAATGAGAAGGCGAAGGGTCGCCTCCGAATTCAAATTTGGGCGGGAGAGTCTCCCGGCCGTCTGCAAGGTGACACCTGTAACGGGCCGTCGCCTGTCACCGTGCGACGCCTGTCACAGGCGACACGTGACCAGTCGCGTGCCACCTGTGAGGGGCAAATGATTAGGGGATTTTTATCCACCAAGCACCGTTTGACAAGTGGACCAACCAGGTTCCGCCACGCGTCCTCCATGGACCACTTAAGACACGCCACGTGTCCACCCATGCCAAATGGGACAACCGGCCATCAAGGCCCATTTCAGTCTAGAAGCCCGATCGGCCCTAGGTTTACCTTAAACCTAGAGAGTTGCACGCTTCCCAAGGCTATAAATACTCGATTAATCCTCATTAATCGAGGGACCGAATACATTACGGAACACACTAATAACCGGCTGATCTCGCTAGCAAAGCAGATTACCTACATTAAATACTCTCACCTAGAGAGACCTTATTACTTTAATTTCTGTATTAATTACTCCTTAATCAGGTACTAACTTGACCGTTGGAGGCGGAGCTCTCAGGAGTCTCCGTTATTTTGCAGGTACAGGCGTCCGGTTCCAGTCTCGGAATTGTAACTCTCCCGCAGGACATCAGAAAACCCCGAAACACTACCAATCCGAAAAGCATTCTAAAAATGTGAGCATATGAAAAAGGGTATGTTCTCTTCAGATTATTTTCAGTTCAATAAGTTAAGTTCAGTTCATTTTTTAATTTCCTTCTCTCATAAAATATTGTTAAATTTCGAAACAATATGAAACGGGTCTGGGCAACCCGAACAAGGAGGAGGAGAGTTTGGTCCACAAACAAGGCTTTGGAGCTTCCATACTAAAACCAATTGGCAATAGTAGGAGTAATTCCTCTACCTTATAAAGTGGAACCGCCTCTCCTCTTTCTCCAATGTGGGACACTCACAAGTGGGATACAATGGGTTTCAACAAATATTCAGTTCAATTAAGTTCAGTTCGGCTCCAATAAATTCAGTTTAGTTTAGTTTAGTTTAGTCATTTCAGTTCAATCAATCAGAACAAACCCTAAATCTATCATACAAGATTACAACCTGCGAATTTTCAAAGTTGCACCAGTGTGTCTATTTTGAATGTACTGATGATAATATTTCATCCTATTCGTTATGACATGGTCCATAAATTCACTCTCGTGAAAACTAGTACAAATCTAGATGAATAAACATGATTTCATATAATTATATTTTCTTTACGTATAAATCACATATAATAATCGAAATTTTAAATCAAGAAGATTATAATAAGAATAAAACAATTAAGTACTAAAGATGTTTAGAGAGAAATGCATAAATAGTTTTAAAGTCCAAATAGTACAATTAAAAACTGGACAAATTATAACCACAATAATAACAAAGCATAAACTAAAGGGAAGACAAAGAGAGAAACCTGGAGGATAGAGTGGAGGAGATTTGGGGAACTAACAATGAAGGCAGAGACGACAACAACAAACGTAGAACCCCTATGTACTTCCAAGTATGGCCAAGCTTCCCTCATCATCTTCACAAACCGCTTATTCTGCCCACCTTCCTCATTAATAACTCCTTTCTCTGAACTCATATTAGTTAAATGGGGTTGATGATGATTGATAGTATTGCTCCTGCTAGTAATTTTGAGAAGAGCATTACCACAGCAACAACAACAACAACGCCGGCCTGGTGAGGGGAAGCCCATTTTAAGTAGTGTAGGCATGATTGAAGTGTTCTTCTCCACCTTCAACTTAACTACTCCTGCTGAAGCTTTTACCTGGTTCTTAATCATAGCTGTTGTTACACTTAAATTATGGTGAGAGTTTTGAGTGATAAAAAGACTTGGTAACATTTGTGAATTTGTAGTGTTTGAGGTTATGTAAGGGGAGGAAAATTATAGAATGTTGGAGTTTTAGGAGGGGGGTAAGAGATTTTGGCTAGGGGATGAAAGTCTTAAGTCAATCTCTTAAGAAAAAGTCGATTTTTATTTAAAGAAAATAACGTCTAAAAATAGGGTAATTATTTAAGAATAGAAGAAGTAATAGGTTGATATCCTAGTGGATAAATACACAACCAAGTTATTTTGTGTTTATTAAATTTATCTAAGAAATTAATTACAGGATTACAACTTTGCGAGAGGAATGAATGGGAATGGGTGGTGTATATCTCTGACTTGACATAAAACGTGAAAGTGTTGAAAATGCGTCTTCTAAATAAACAACTTAAATGTCTAAAGTTACTCAAGGGAGAGTGATGTGTATGATGAAGGTTCGAGTGAGTGACGATGACATAGATATTTGTCAAAAACATACGATGGTCCCATGCCATGCATATGCAGCGACACGACGCTGTTGCTATTTGGTTGCTACCGTAATTCAGATAACTATGCTTTCCTTTGCTGACTCCAACTTAGCACTTGATTGCTGACTCAAATCATGCTTCACTCAGAATCCAAACAGACTTAATAAAGTATGGTTTTTTTTTTACAACTCATTCAAGCTGTCACTCGTAAAATAACCTTGTAAACACCCATTTATGCATTTGAAATTTGAAAGAGTTCAAATATTTAAGTTGGAAAAAATCTTAATTTTATAGTCACAACATAACATGTCATTGTCTTAATTACTTGTATGATAATATAAAAGTTTTATAAACAAATGACTCATCATAATTATATGAGATACACTTTTACTTTGACTAGCTTAAATGATTTATAACTAAACAAAAATATAGTCATATAAAATCTTATTAAATTCATATCAATTTATACTATTTTACATCATGTTTATAATTTTTACATATCAGTGTTGAAGATATCAAGGATTCAAATAATGCAAAAAAAAAGAGGAAGTACTCATGACCTAGTAAAATGTTGTATTCAATTACCCTACACCAATAGCAAACAAAAAAGAGAGAAAGAAACGTATGGAGTTAAAGGATTTGTCATGTCCTCGTTTGTTTGATCGATTATGTGATTAAAAGTGATATAAATCCAAATTAATAAAAAAATCTGTTTAGAAAATAGGAGTATATTTCACTTTCCAGACAAGTTTTTAAGGCTATGTTTGGATAACAAAAAATGGAAGGAAAGGAAGGGAGGGAGACAAACTTCCTTGTTTGGATAATACGTTGGGGGAAGGGGAGGGGGAGGGAGGGATCCATTTTCCCTCCTTTACTAAATACCATCTGATGTGTCCATTTTATATTGTATTTTACCCCCGTCCCTTGGTCATAATTAGTAGTGTTTTTGGCTCTTTAGAGCCACTTCTATTACTAATATGTGTTTTCTAGTGTTTTCGTAGTTTTGGTTGAGTTTTGTAGGGAATTGCACCTTTGGAGCATTTTCCCGGGATTTTTATGAAGCAACTACGAGCATTGGAGGAGCACGACCGTCGTTGAAGCCCAAGGCCGGCTAGAGCCATCGAGCCGGTGATTAAGGGCTCGGTATTTGGAATACCGAGGTTTGGACCGAGTATTCAAGACCCGAAGAGGAGATCCGGATTGGGCCGAGGAGTCGAGCCCAATCGGAAGTCCAAAGCCTCGAGGAGCCACAAGGGCCCGATCGGGCAAGCTTAGCTCGATCGGGCAAGATGCGCAGCAAGCCAAGGATGTGTGGCCCAAGGCGCGCCCGATCGTGCGAGGCTTAGCACGATCGGGCGGTGCTGCTGAGAAGAGTGTGCTAGCAAAAAGGCGGGCCCGATCGGGCGGCCCTTCGCCCGATCGGGCGCGTGTTTTTCCTAGGGTCTGATTAGTTTAGTTTTAATTCGTGTTTTAGGAAAGGTTTAAATACAATTTGTACGGAACCATTGGAATTAAAATTGGATACAACATCCCGTGTCAACTACGGTTTGTTGGCCTTACCATTTTTGGTAGGCATGAACTTGCCAATGTCAGGCGGGATGAGCTTGAATTACTAGGGTCATACATGGTCCCTAGGAGTGAAAAGCTCAATATAATCTACAAAATGGCCACCCACTTCCAACGGGTGGCCAATGCGGCCGAGGCGGGTAGGTCTAGGGTACCCATTTACTTTGGTGGCCTAGTTACACATATAGCGGTCAAACACCTTAGCTTTGTCCCTAACGAAGATGGTAAGGTAGCCGGCCCAACTCTTATGGACCTACCCTATCTAGGTAGCCTTAACTGGGTTAATGTCATAGGAGGGGATACTTGCTGGGTGATTCAACGGGAATCGGGTAGGAGGGTGTAGACACCCATTTGTGTCTCCCCAAAACCAAACCCGGTGATGAGTACCTTTCGCGTCGAATCATAATAGAATGAAACGAAAGTGTGGAAAGGTCTGGTGTTGCGGAAAGTTTTAATTCTTTTCTCTTCTCTCTGTTTTTGAAAACTTTATTTTAAGAAAACAGCCAATACAGTTTGGTTGGTCCATGATATGGGTCCAATAGTGGTGTAGTTGGATGGGGCTTGCAAAGACCTTTCCAACGATATATTATAAGCCCAATTCCGATGAATATTGAGGAAGTTATGGCCAATTTACTAAACTGGGCCCGGTTTGAGTTTTAAGTACGGCCCAATGATCTAGGGGAGGGCCTAATGTAATTAGGAATGGTTTTAGTCTTCTAGAACATTCTAGAAGGTTTTATCATTCTTAATTCAATTAGGATTCTTCAGAGTTTTAATTAGATCAAATAGCATTTTCGACTGAAATTATATTATTTTATCTTCCAGTACGGGAAATTTATCAGATTTTCGAAAACGCGTTGAAATCCAATTTGGCGTCCAACCCCAGGCCTTGGTGCCTGGAACCAGGATTGGCGCCAGACGCTAGCCACTGGTCCTGGCGCCAATGAGCCAGGGCTGGCGCCAAGGTGATTTTGTGGTCTTCAGACTATGTTTTGATAAATTATCTTTTTTGGCTGATTTTCTCTATAAATATCGTATTTAAAACTCCGTTTTCATGACCAATTACCATTCATTAATTCAACTATCATCTACATCTATCAATTACCAATAATCAACTCTCTTCATTCACAAAATTATTCATCAATTATTCATCAACTCTCTTCATTCATCATCTACATCATTCATTCATTCTTTCTTTAATACTTTACTTTTTAATACAAAATTACGCATTCACAAGATCTTGATACACCTAGCCATATTCGAAGTTGCCTTCGCCCTAGACGTGAAAGGTTTTAATTTCTAAGGGTTTGGTCCCAAATCTCTATTTAAATTATTTAATTTAATTGTTTTGATTATTATTTTCCTTGAAATTACTAATGCGTGTATTTTGTTATTAGAAAGAGGTACGAGGCATCCAAGTAAGTACTTTAATTGATTTATGATGTAGATATCATGCTTAGATTGTTATTTTGATTCCTAGTATCATGTCTAGGGTATCTTTAATATTAAGTATGATTAAAAGTATGATGCTTCCTATATTCTCCCTAATATTTATGATTATTATGATTATGATTGATATTATTATTAATGATGTTGATTATTTATTATGTTGCTTGGTATATATTATGCATATTATTGCTTGATCACCTTTTATTGCATGTTTAAAGGGAATTGGTACTTGCAACCACGCTTAATAAGATAATTAATAATCTTGTTAGGTTAATTGTGATTATAATTCAAGTGATCGCCGATAATAGTTTACTTGTGCATTAAATTCAACCAACATAGATTAAACAGGTTTAGGGTTAATCCTATTGATTGTATGTTAGTCAGAAAGCGCACATAAATACGATCAGAATAAAGTAGAGGCCTATTATTAGGACATGTTCAATCTCTTTTAGGTTTGATTTGTACCATCATCCCCGGACCCTTATTTTGTTCACGACCTTATGGAGTTGGCGATCTCTTGGATCGTTAAGGGGTGTAACCTTCATCCTATGGACGGTTTACAAGTTCCTTAAAAACTTGTTAGCGACTCTTTTGCTCTATCTTCTTCCCTTTTGGACGCCACCGTACTTTAGTGTATGATCACAGTGGGGTTCAAGCTAGTGGGATTTTTAAGGGCTTGAAATTATTTCCTACAATTTTTGGCGACTCTGCTGGGGAGGATTTCTATTTTAATTCCTGAATTTGTTTCGGCAATGATTTAGAATGAGTGGATGAAACTCGAAAAGTTCTAAGTATTTCATGTGCGTAATTTTGATTAACATTATTGCCATATGCATAAAAAGGTTCTCATTGGAAAGACCATCCGTAATGAGTAAAAAACATAGGATTTTTACACGTAGGAAATTTGAGAAATGTCTTTCACAACTAGGACTGAAATAACACCGCGCGAAACTGGATGATTTTATTGAGCACAAAAAGCTGCTGAGGCATGTGGGAAGTAGCGTCAGGGGCCAGAGCTTGGCGCCAAACTTTTAGCCGTAGCGCCAGACGCCAGTATTAGCGCCAGGCGCTACAGTTAAAAGTTGGCTCCAGTCTCTGTTTGCTGGCGCCAATTTCCCCCAATACCGAGCCAGAAATATGCGTTCTAATTTCGACCGGTTTTTCGTATTGTTTGCTCGATCCTACTTCCTGATTGAATTTTTTCTCACTTTTCTGAAACCCATATGTGTTCTACATATGGACATAACCCTCTGCGAATTCATGCTCTATCTACCCGATTGAACGCTCCTGGCAACAAAGGGTACATCTGAGAGGTTGAATTCACCAAACCATGGAAGCGAGTTTTTTCTAAAAAAAAAAAACTCGGGGTGTTCTATCCACACGCGTTAACCCTTCACAGTTAGGCTTCTACGCGGTGCATCTGGACAATTAACCATGGACCCTATTTGACTAAACCATATCCCGAACTTTAGAGAACTAGAGCCATGGTTAGGTTGCGAACTCATTGCATCATATTGTGCCTACTTGCCTAATTGTGCATTATTTGTTGTGCATATATATTCTATGCTCCTCCTAACCGTTTGTTGATTTGTGTTGAGATTATAATTAATGACTTAAAGAACTTTGCCTAATTAATTAATTAATTAATTCGAGTCATTAAAGTTTTTTTTTCTTCTTTTAATCGGATTTGACCTAGTACGACTTTAGGCATACCCCAGTTTACTAATAATATCGAAAACAGTCCCAGACCGAGGCTCCAATATTGGTGCCAAAATCTGGGCTGTAGCGCCACTGTATGGTGTGTAGCGCCAGACATTTACTAAAAAGTCTGGCGCCAACCACCATATTGTGACGCCAGTCCTGTCGCTTGGCCGACAGTTCAGATTATTTGTCGAGTCATCACCTAATGTCTAATTAATCAGTTTCCTGTTTAATTCGGTTAATTTTGCTGGCAATAATGCTTAATTGAATTAATATTCGAGTTTAGGCACTAAGTCCCATGGTCTTACACAAGAGTCCAAGCATGTCACTTACAATCAATAC